TAAGTTTGATTTTAATAATGAGTGAGTTCGATCAAGCAAACAGCACATGCTTGGGTCATTCGAGATCATCAAATACGCATGCGCCAGATTGACCGTATCGGGGCGGCCGTGTGTCGACGATTGATCTCCCGTTTGTAGGTCAAGTTCGGGCTCAATCTATAGTTTGACCAGTGGTCAATCGCTTTTCAACGATACGCATACGCAATTCAGTTACAACTGAACGACCCCAGTTGGCGTAGTCTTAAAGAACTCGTCGTTACCTACATTTCACTTTGGCTGCAATTCTTGCAGTGTTCATAGTCATTGAAATCTCGTACAAGTATTATGGTTCCCTCCATTATGATCAATGAAATGGGCTATTGATAACCAGCGGTGTGACCGTGCCCGATGGCCTTGGTCGACTAGATAATTATAGTCAACCGCAGTCGTCGCTTGAATTCACGCGCAAAGAACACATTGGAGCTGGCGTGATGTCGGAGCATTCTCGAGCAACCTTGACGCTTTGAAGCACTGAACTGAATCATTACCATTAATCACCCATGAAATTCATCGGATAGGATTGCAACAACGCGAAAACTGTTGTCTGTGGACGTCTAACTATCATCATGAGTGAAACTTTGGTATCGCTGTTAATGTCAAAACCTAGGTAGGATCCTATAAAGCCTGCAAGTAAACTAAATCAACAAACCAACCAACGAGACCACCGGCGTAAATTAATTTTCATTGGATGGGGAGTATCCCCCCGCGATATACAATTTTTGACCAGGTTTCCCCCCGGTATACAATTTTTGATGGGCTAAAGAGTCATTCCAACCCCCTTCCCCGCACACGTTTTCTTGATGAGCTAAATAAGGTTGATTAAGAAGAATCTTTTTGACTTCTGAATCACTAAAACGTGGTCAATAGCAGTGAAAATGGGAAAGTCGTAAAAAATCGCTGGAATGTAATACACATTCTGTATCACGAACATCTATTTTCAAGAATTCAAAGCAAAACAACCCTTTTTAATTATGTGTAAATTTCTAAGAATAGAGGGTATCAAATGTAACAATGCAAATTTCCATGTTTTAGTTTCACAATGTATTCGGATGTACTCGATTATCTTTGTACTCGTTCTCGGCTCGTACTCCGACTTTGAAAAACTGAACTTGGGTTTTTGGCCGTACTTGGCACTCTGTGTACTCGTGAAACTCGAGTTTTCGTACTTGACTACATCACTGGTCAACACCCCCCCTCCCGCTTTCCAAATTCCCATGGCAGGGGCAAGTTATCCAACCCAGTGGAATTCCCCACCCCATCGCCCCATTTGCGGCACAACTATAAGCCACTGAACCAAGTAGCACTGTAATATGGCTGGTTGAAAATTTGATTGGTTGGCTCATTCATTGTTTTGGTCTGTCAGGTACACAGGTTGGGTTTGTGATTTCCAATCCACATGCTTCTCCTCTGTGTAATGGGTGCTTGTGGATGTGTATATTGATCAGATACATTCAAACAAAGTTCTTTCATTTGATTTATTGAGGTGGAGGGTCAAGTCTAGACCATCTGATGGAAGTGGTGGTTAAAGCAACCTCCTTGCAGGAGTGCAGACACGCCTACGGGTCCTCATCAATTACAGACAACATGTTTTGCGCAGCAGCTTTGGGAAAAGACGCCTGCCAGGTAGGCCATTTTTCCGCTGGTGCAGGGGGTGGCAGAGGGACGAATGATGCCATGAAAAGGTCTTAATTAAAGGGGGGCTCTAAAATGCTGGCAATTCGTGCTAACACTCTGTTGTTAGCGATTTTTTCCTCTTTCTCATATCGTCTTCATTGCTAAGATAAAATTTGACGAGGGCAACCTTTTGTCTCTTCTCCCTCGCTGATACCTGTTATTATTACACTTAATTCTGCCCGGAATGACTAATGATTGACCTCTTGTTAGGGAATCGACTTCGTGCTAGTCATGTTTGAGCGGAACACGTCATCTCTTAATTAAAGTAACTTGCTTCATCGATCAGACTGATGAGTCTTTCTTGACCAAACTCTAATTATGGTTTCCAACGGCTCGGTTTCCCCTTTCCTCATAGGGTGACAGCGGTGGCCCAATTGTAAGCCACTTCGGGGCTAGCAGCCACAATCCTGGCACCACCCTAGAGGGCATTGCCAGCTGGGGTATCGCCTGCGCTCATCCTGATTATCCAGGCGTTTATGTTACCGTCGGTAACTACTGTGACTGGATCAAGACGACTACTAAAGATGCCGTCGAGTGTTCAAGTTAGAGAGGGTCCCACCGGTTGCCGAGGGATGGACGCGCCACTGATATGTGCGACTGTGATCTGAAGGAAACTCTGGTTCAGGGTCTCTCGGCATTCGATTACCATCGTTAGCAAATAAGACTGCCAGGGTTGAAATAAGACATGAAATAAAACGAACTATAGTCAAGACAATTATGAAACAAATAGATGAAATGAACTATAAATAAATTTACACAGTTAAAGCCTCGTTATTTCCACCAGATATACTTCCAATTTCTTCAGAAAATAACTGAAATAAAAGGGCGTTTCAAGTCATTGTAATTATACAAAGAATTTGAATTACAAGACTTTCTGATTTTTCTTCCGACTGTTCTTACAACAACCTCAGGTGAGACCTCTTTCCGGTCTGCAAAGTGTCTTACTTGGACAAACCTGTGTTGTTTTTATCATGACTTCACGATTGGATATATTACGGACCAGGACCCAATGCTTGGTGCATGCGAAATTAACGTTTTGATTTGAATAAATAGAAACAAACAGAATGCATTGTCAAGACTAAAGGTGTTCTCATTAATTATTTACACCGTAGTCAGTACAAAATTGTTCTTCCCAGTCAGTCCAAAATTTCCGTCCTGGTGGACTCGCGCTATTCAGATATGGAGATCCATATTCGTGACTTGGTCACTTCACCTGCCCCGGGAAGAGTCATAGGCTATTATTGAAACAGCCCGGCCAGGCCAGCATAGCTGATCCCTTCCAGCCTTCCTTATGCCTTCCAGCGTAGCTTTGCTCATCCCCATCGCTCTATGAGCCCCGAGCTTGATCAAAACAGGGCGCAGTTTTCCCTGTAACAGCTGATTCTTTGGGAACTGCTCTTTTCTGGTTCACAAACGACTTCGAAAAACACGCGTTACGGTTTCGCCGCTATAAACAAAATGAACAGTCCCCACAAAATGGCTCTTGTCAACCGATAAGGGGTGCTTCTTTTCAAAGCGGATTCAAGGCCCTCAGATGTACTGATTTTTCAGGAGCTTTCTCATAATGTCTTGTCAAAGATCTCCGACACAGAGATCACTCCAAAAGGTTCTAAGATGAAGTGGCCTATTCAGGGGGACAGGTTAAACCAGAAAAGTTTAGCCTTTTTCCTATTTACAAATGGAAATAATCTTACTGAATAGAAAGCGCCAATATTTTAGAAACATTGAGCGAGTGACAGAATGTTCGTCCACAGAGTTGTCTCCCTAACCACCCACCTAATACTGAATACACCACTGCAAAGCAAGAGAAGGTGAACAGCCGACTGACTGCTTTTGAGTAGAGCACGAGTTGAAGAATCGAAGACTAAAATGCATTGTAAATCTTGAATTGAAACCCTTTTCTGGGGATAAATCATAATACTTATCGTGTCACTGGCACTCATGGAACCAACTTGACTGCTGTAATTTTACTGCTCGATGAAGTTTTTACACCACAATCCCACAGTGCTTCATTGTCGCAGAGGCCTCCTCAAGATTAATTACTGTCTACCCCTGGCTATGGAAAACTGCATTTTCGAAAGGGCGAGAGCACCTGTCACACGTTGTCCGGTCACTCAGAACGCCCCCTAGTTCATGGAGTTTGAGCAATATGAATTACGATGTCTCCAATTTGACAGTTGAAAAGGCCGAGGTGTTTTTCTGGATTTTTCTCAAAACAGTTAACTCAAACATAAGTCAGTGGATTCAAAGCTACAGTAGAATTTATATCCCCAGTATCAGCCAATCTTGTCAAATCATGGTTAATAGTTAACTCTGGGTTGAGTGGGTAGGAGTTAGGCGTCATGTAATGAGAATCGTGTGGTGGAATATGATGAAACTTGACATGAAACTTACATACTGTGCATGTTCTGTACTCAAAGGCTTTCTTGAATGTCTTCTGTCCTCCAGAAGCAAGGAACCCAATCCCGTTTGGGCACAGCCCAACTTGTGGGCGTGGATTTAGTGGGATCGGATGGGGGATAAGGAGAGGTTGTATTGTGGACAGGAGGAGTGGGGAATTGTTGATACGGGGTGGGATGATTGATATTGACTGGGCATTTGGTGGACTGGAATAGGAAATAGGTAGAATAGGAATACGGTAGTGTCGGGTGGAGAGTTGTTAGGGTGAGGTATGACAGGGGACGTTGGGTTTGTAATTATCACTGTGACCCGGACGTGGAGTTCTATAGGCCGCCCCTGATGGTGGGGTGGCAGGTCCATCCGTGTTAGGTGATGAGGCACCTAGAAGAAGTGAGTCAGGTACCAGATGGGCAATCAAATATTTCTTTCAACTGTTGATTCTTTTGTCTCATCTCAGCTCTTGAATCTTTTTCAGATCAAAATAAACCCTGTTTACAAAATAAATACAAGAAGTATTGTACACAAAGCACAGCATACTGTCACGATAAGTCGTTGTATAATTATTGCCCATAAGTCATAAAAATGGTCGAACAAAATATGCAATTGAATTACAGTAGTTGTACTATGGTAAATTACCCCGGTGTCATGGATATGGTAGAGTAGCTAACAGTGAGAGCAACGATCAAGCTCTACAGTCAGGTGGGCAGGCTCCCACAACTATTTCTCCTGAGCTGCTGCCAAACTATAACATGGCACATGTACATACAAGTATGAAAGACAAATATTAATCACTATAATATGTGGATCAACGGAAGTATGAGCAACTGCACAGGAATGCACCTTGCATAATATAAAATTCACTAAAGCCTGCTTCCAACGTTCAATCATGTTCGTTAAACGCCCCACCAACGCAAAGCATTACAGCCCCACGTACGCGCACGCATACCTGTTTTACATACAAAGTGTGGACTTTCCTCTGTTCTCCTGTGGTTAAGGAAACTTGAGGAAAATGCTGCTTTTTCTCTAACTAGGATAACTCCTTCGAGCTGGATTTTTGATGGTGATTCCCTGGACTGTTTCTCTTCATTTTGCAACGGATAAGCTTGACCCCAAAATGCCTCTGAAACTGTCAGAGAGGGGGGAACATTGTGTGGACGATTTCACCGTGTGGACGTGTGCGAGTCCACACTACGCCATCGCACCCTACATTATGTGGACTTCTTTTGTGCTGAGATCCACGCAATGTATGTCACACAAGAAAAAAAAGCACAACACGTACAGCGTTAAATGCAATGTGAAATACACAGAAGTATTGCATATTATTGCAATTATTGATATTGCAGCACACCGAACTAGTGTGAAAGATTCTCAAAATTACGATTAAGAAAACATTCCAGAAATGAATTAAAATGCCATTAGCCTAAAGTATAATATCAACTAATATGCTCTATGGGGATCAGTGGTCACGATGATACGAGTCTAGTGAGGGTACATAACCTAGAAAAGGTACTGAAAGCAAGAAATTTTGGGGCAACTTCTTACCTGGGCGTTGCTTGGTTCGCCGGGACGATAAAGACCGCACTCTAGAACGTTCGAGAACGCCCAACGCCCATAGGCACAGCCACAAAGCCGTGGCTAAATATACTGCTCTGCTTTTCACAAAAACACAGTGTAATTACCCTCAACCACTGCATGCACTGGAATCAGCACTGATTATCAACGAAACAGTGTTTATAAATTAGAAATTTACACTCGAGGATTAATAAAGAAGTACAACCTAAACTGAAGTAATATGAAATGTGAACTCTGAGAGACTATTTGTTGTAGTGGATGTTGTATACCAGGCAA